TTACGAGATTACAATTCCGCGAAACGTAAATATCTCGTATTAAATATCGAAATATTCCTTGCCACTGGCTAGACGCCGGGACAATCGTAAAATATACGAAAGTGGACTGAGCCTCGCGTGCTACCCTTCGGGTGCTCATTTATCGCGGAAACCGCAGCGGCAGTGAATTCCATAAATTCGCCAGACCAACGCGGCGTGATCTTAAATCTCGTCCACGAATTCGCAGATACGGCTAGGCCATGTTTCAACCCTGCTCGTCCGTGTAGCCCGCATTAACAAACACCGGCGCAATTAAACAATTTGCCGTGGAACGAGGCGCAGTAAAGCCGAAAGAGAAATCGCGACACGATAGTTTACGGGTGGGAAGCAGCCCGCGAACATTTAATTGGATGAACGCGGGGCCCCGAGCCCGATTGGAAGACTGAGGGGGCAAAGGAACGGGGGACGGTGACGAGCAACAAATAAAACTTATCAACAAGTCGGTCTGTCGTTGCATCTCGATGCAATCGCCGGTCCGCGACCGTTCGATTGGATGGCTCACTCGATTGCATATTGCATCGGACTCGAATATCGAAATCCCTTGCGCTCAATTAAAAGCACGACAAGGTTCGGCTGGAATATCGAGCTCGCGGAACTTTAAATCGTTCGACAGCAGTCGAGGACGGGCTGACCGTGGAAAAACGTTTTCGTTGATTTAAAAAAAAAGGGGGCAAAAGAGGGAATGAAAGAGAGAGAAAGAGCGCAATATGTCACGTTTGCGTGCGTGTCAATCTATCGTGGAATTCCTGTTGCTGTTCCGTCTCTGGGTCCCAATGATTCGATCAAGCTCCGAATCCGCGCTGCACGAGGGTGTTCACCCTCTATCGGAGAAGATTGTTATTCGCGTAATCGGGATCAGTGAATTATTTTCTTTTCCAAAGGATTCGAAATATCAAGCTATTGGTCGACGACACGGTTACGTCTCTGTGTAAGGTATTCTCTCTATGAGAAGAAGCGACGTAACTCTTCGAATGCCAGGATGCACGTGTATATGCGTCCAGCAAAAGCTAGCTATTATATACTCCGCGTGGTAAAGTGGTATGAAATATCTATCAATTTCGACAAGTTACCTACCCGTGTTCGAGACGGGTACGTTACGCGGAGGGTTTAAAGGGTTCCCCGTTTCGAACGAATTTCTGGATTATGCAAAATTTAACACGCGACGCGAATTTCGACGTAAGACTTTGCACGACGGTCGCAAACTTTCGAGGGGGAGTCTGAAATTTGAAAGACAGAGGGTGGGTCTCGATCCCCATTTTTCCTCCACCGAGTACACGCTTTGCCTCGTCGGGAATTTCAAAGGAATCTTATGAAAATTGAACGAGAATTGTGCCAGCTACCGGATACAAAATACTGCTACCGGAATTACGATAGTTACTCCAAGCTTCGGGACCCTTTTCGTTAAAACTGAAAAGGGGTAAATTGAAAAGGGGAAAGTCGTAATTAAATCTGTTACGCAATTCGTCAATTAGGTTGGCGAATAAGGAAGGCGGCACCGATGGAAATTCCACGATTATTGTTATCTATTAGATTTCAAATGGAAAATGACATTTTAAACGGTATATATATATGCGAAACAAATAGTAATTTACCTCTTGGAAATGAAATGCAAATTAAAGGGACAGTCGATTAACTTCACAATGTATGACATTACACTGTCACGTATAAACATGCTCCGTATGCACTTTATTGTTGTTATTGCTAGTACTGTTCGCTATAATGATAAACGCAGACGTACTCGCGATACGCTATATTACTATTGTTATTATCGCTTGATAATTGTTGTTATTACTACCGTCATTTAATTTATGACGTACTTGCTCAAAATTACGTTGCAACCAAATACGCGCCAAATGTAATTGCGAAACTAAACCTATCAGCCGAAACTCGCAAAAAAGAAAACGTCAATTCGAAACAGGACTTTCCAAAAAATTTCCATATTAGTTTCACTTTTGCACTCCAAACAAACGGACCAAAATATAAACAATCGCTCGTGCCACGTTATAAATAATAACCGAAATTAAAATATTTTATTTATCATTTTAATTATAACGAGGGGGAAATAAATCCCGATTCGACGTTTCCCGCGGAAAAGGAGGAAAAGGAAGGGAAAAAAGAAGAAAGGCGATAGTGGACGAGAATGGCGATCGAGACGAGACGCGACGGAAAATCCGGCTGGACGGAGAAACGCATCGTTTGTGACGGACGAACGCATTCTCGCGTCGGGACGCGTCGGGACGACATGCAGGATCCGAAGCGTGCATCCACGAGCACGGACGTGTTCTACTGTCGAACGATTCGACACGGTCCGGAACGGTTAGGAACAGAGACGCGCGTCTCGTCGTGACGTCAATGCACGCTGCTCTACACCCTTGTCATCGCATTACATACAGCAGGTGAGTAATTTCGAGGCGGTGGACAGCAATCGTCTCGCTTCCTCCTTGCAAATTGCCGCTGAAATTCAGCGCCAACCGGTGCGAAGGCAGCCATAATTCCGAGCTTCGATACCCTGATACTACTCGAAGACCGAAATTTTCTAAATCCATTTCATTGAAAAAATACAAATTCTTTAAGTACAATTAAGCCCTCTGTGCCTCGACAATTTTTAATTTAACAATTTTTTCCTAATTTCCAACTATTCGGAATGTATTTACGTAGCGTAGAACCAATCACTGAACTGGACCCAGTTCACTGAGCACGGGCGGAAAAGAAAGGAAACGAAGGCTAAAAACGAAACATTTTTCCGCGCAATGGTCGCTACGGTAATGGAGAAATTTTCGAAAAATCGAAATGGATTGCACGGACAGAATAATCCTGGCTCAGGAGCAGGACAAACAAACGTAGATGAGCGAGCAACGAACAATTTGGAATCGTTTCGACGGAAACGATCAGTCAGCCTATCGGGCAGGAAGCGTAATTCGGGACTGGAAACAGGCCTGCGCGAATATTGCGATATTAATGCAGGGATGTCTGCGTCGTTCGATGACGAATCGTTTCGACGGAAACGATCAGTCAGCCTATCGGGCAGGAAGCGTAATTCGGACTGGAAACAGGCCTGCGCGAATATTGCGATATTAATGCAGGGATGTCTGCGTCGTTCGATGGGTGCCGCGCGTTATCTTCGATTGTCCGATTAGCCGTCGTTTTATTTGATTATCCGCGCTGCATGGCTACACGCGGGCCCGCTCGGTAATCCGTCCATCCTTGTATTTTACGTGTAATAACAGGAATGGCTGACTAAATAACGGGATAACCGGATTAAGAGTGGTAATTGCAGAAGAGTAATCACGCGGCAAGCGCTTCGAACTTGCCACGGTTGCACCAACGAATCCGTGATAACTCGAGGCAACGCGGCAGGGCTGACGTTTGGTATGACAACCAAGGTAGGTAGACGACCGAGCGAGAATAGAAATCGTAATGGGTTCGATTGTTCGCGAGACGAGTCTCTGCTAATCGCGACACGAAGCCTTGCTACAGTGTGAGAACAAAATTAGCGACACGTCGATTCGTCTGACAATGAGTAGCGAACGAAATGGAAAGTTCTAACCTCGAAGATTGAACTGGAAGATCTTTCGGGAGTATTCTACGACTCTAACGGGTTACCGAGCGAAACTTGGTTAGCACAGGCGATTAGTGGGAATTTGACGAAGATTTTTCAACCGTATCATTCGTCATAGCGTCAACTTTCTATGCTATATTCTACGCCCGTGCGATTTTCGTTTCCTCTCGTCTAGGTGCTAATGTACTTATCCCTGTTGGACTAAACACCACGTCATACGCGAGACGCATACTCTAAAAGTCAGAGTTCTTCGACTCTCGAGTTCCATTTCCGATACGAGATTTTCTCTAGATGAGCGAAAATTCGTCAAATTGAACGAACACTTGCCTGTTATCGGGACAGGGCGTGTCTTGCGACTTCCTTAAACTCGTCTCTTTCGCCAGAAATAATTCGCTTATCGCCGAGTCACGAAACGTTAAACTATTCGGAATGTATTTACGTAGCGTAGAACCAATCACTGAACTGGACCCAGTTCACTGAACACGGGCGGAAAAGAAAGGAAACGAAGGCTAAAAACGAAACATTTTTCCGCGCAATGGTCGCTGCGGTAATGGGGAAATTTTCGAAAAATCGAAATGGATTGCACGGACAGAATAATCCTGGCTCAGGAGCAGGACAAACAAACGTAGATGAGCGAGCAACGAACAATTTCGAATCGTTTCGACGGAAACGATCAGTCAGCCTATCGGGCAGGAAGCGTAATTCGGAGCGGCAGGGCTGACGTTTGGTATGACAACCAAGGTAGGTAGACGACCGAGCGAGAATAGAAATCGTAATGGGTTCGATTGTTCGCGAGACGAGTCTCTGCTAATCGCGACACGAAGCCTTGCTACAGTGTGAGAACAAAATTAGCGACACGTCGATTCGTCTGACAATGAGTAGCGAACGAAATGGAAAGTTCTAACCTCGAAGATTGAACTGGAAGATCTTTCGGGAGTATTCTACGACTCTAACGGGTTACCGAGCGAAACTTGGTTAGCACAGGCGATTAGTGGGAATTTGACGAAGATTTTTCAACCGTATCATTCGTCATAGCGTCAACTTTCTATGCTATATTCTACGCCCGTGCGATTTTCGTTTCCTCTCGTCTAGGTGCTAATGTACTTATCCCTGTTGGACTAAACACCACGTCATACGCGAGACGCATACTCTAAAAGTCAGAGTTCTTCGACTCTCGAGTTCCATTTCCGATACGAGATTTTCTCTAGATGAGCGAAAATTCGTCAAATTGAACGAACACTTGCCTGTTATCGGGACAGGGCGTGTCTTGCGACTTCCTTAAACTCGTCTCTTTCGCCAGAAATAATTCGCTTATCGCCGAGTCACGAAACGTTTGAATGCCGAAAGATCGAGATACGAAACGATCCGGTAGATGGAATGTGAATGGGTCTCAAGGATTTACCGGCGAACAGATCGAATCTGGTCCTGCTCCTCTCACTGTCCTCGTAGCCTTCAAGGTCGTCCTCGTAATCCTCGTAATCATCCACTCGTTCCCTCCTGTCTTTCTCGCTGACGTTCCTCGGCAAAGCATTGCTAGTCGCCCTCTGACCAGCCTGTCTCAATCTGGCCTGGTTATTGCTACTGAAGAGGACCGCTGGAGGCGGCGGCGTCGACAGCTGCGAGCCCTGAAGACGCCTCTGAAGGTATCTGGCCAAGATCGCCTGTACAGCGTCTGTCTCGGCGCCGCCTGCAAGACAGAAATCATGTTGCTCTCGTAATCAGGCCAATACTTTGCTTTTTCTACCGTGTTTTATTTTTTTATTATTTTTTTTTTCTTAAGTATACTCCATTCCGTTTCCTCTCTATACGCTTTTCTCTATAACGTTCTCCCGCCCGTTCCCTTCCCTCTCTTTCTCTCCTTCCCTTCTGCGCCGACTTAATTCCAAACGCGTCGTGAAACGTGCTGCATCCAGAGCTGCTGGTGCATTCGTATGCATGAAACTTTTCGTACCAGTCGCTAAGAGCTCCTAAGAGGCCCACTGAACCGGAGTAATACGCTGTTCGAGCCACTGTCTTCCTTCCACCTTTGCATTCTTGCGAGCCAGGTTTCTGACCAGCCGAGGGAGCCGTCACGAGAAAACGTCGTCACTCGGGAAACACTTTTCTCCAGTCGCTGGCTGGGCTCGTTGTTCCTCCATTCGTGGCGTCGCCCGGCCCTTTCTTCTGATCCTTGGCCTGGTATTCGCGCCAAGATGGATCGTTATCGTGGCACGAATACGCAGAGTACAGTCGCAGCGGGAAGATGATCGTGGCTAGTTTCGTGGATCTCGTTTCGTCCAAGTTGAAAGTACGTGGCACGCTAGCACGAGGTATTTAGGCGAGTTCGTATTCCGTGGACGCTTTGGATATCCGTTTTTCCTTACGCTCATATGCGCGATTCGTCTCTTTATTCTTGGATCAGAGTACGAACGCGGAGCCGAAAGTTACTCGGCACACAAGCGTCTCGGATGGATGTTCGTTGCTCGCCTTTTTTCCTGCCGCATCTCTTGTCGTTCAGCACGAAACAATAATGCACCCTCTTTCGAGTGGAAACGAGTAGAGACTTACAGAAGCCTCGACGTAAGAAGCTTTGTGTAAGCAGCAACCATTTCGATGTTAGGGTAAAAGGATGTTGTTAAGTAGAGCGTAAAAGCTCTCGAGAAAATTCACTAGTCGAATATGCACGAGGGTGCAAGGTATCGAGGAACAATGTCAGCCTCGATATCGTCGAGTGATTCGCAGCCTGTATCCGTCTGAATAAAATTCCAAGTTTCTACTATTTCCCGGATTTTCAGCATCCGTGCAAACGCACGCGTGGACCTAGAGTCACCGATTGGGATGAGCTAGCAATGGGGTCGCGCAGCTTGCCACGTTAATTACATAATTTCTATATGATCCGGATAATCCAGGTACGCTATTCCACGCGTAACATTGTTCTAGATAAAGCGTCATTTTACCCGCGATACTTTAACCCGCTATTCGCCGACATTTAATTATAAACCGGATAAACCAACTTCCCTTAAACTGATTAACCTCGACATCGATATTTATACCTGGCAGATACAGCGACGAATCGCAATTTTGATACGCCACCCACGAGGTTAATCACGGGCAATTGAAATTTATAATGCGTGGATCGCGTAAAAGTATAACGAGGTACGCCGCCATCGGCTTGCGAGTCATTTACGAGCGTTTCGTGACACGAGTATACTCGCGAGTACCTATCCACGTGAAAAAGCATCGCGTTATTCTTCGGCAATCACACGCTGTGATTCTCTTTCTCTCTTTCGATCGACTCGTCGAAGATGGAATCGCGATACAGCTTTCACCGAATTCTCCCGTTGCGTCATCCTCGAGGGGAAAATCCCTCGCGTCCGACTCGACCTCGATCCTAATTACAGGCGTCGCGTGGTAGATCTCTCGAGATCTAACGACGCGAGATCCGACCGGCAACGGAGCATAAAATCGCCTGGGACTTTATTTATGGAGGATCACGAGGATGAACGTCACATTAGGCGGTGACTTACGAGCTGTTCCGCGCGAGGGAATTCCTCGGGGCCAGTGGCCTGGTAACCAGAAGCAGGGTCACGCGGTTAAAAGCATCGACGTTATGCCAAGTGTGTAACTGCGTTTGCTCGTAAAGGTAAATGATATGCAACGGAGCCACTCGACCTGGCAGGACACTCCATTAGAGAGTCCTCGCTACGTAGGCATGCGTTTGACGTTCAACAGCGCCCTCGAATCGTCAACGTCGCGTATACGTGCGAAGCGTGCGGATTAAAGGGTGCACCGGTACTCGATACACCCACTCGGGCTAGGAAGCGGTGAAAAACCGGTGCTCGATGCCGCTGGTCACCGGTCCATGGAGAACGAAAAAGAAACCAGCACGTTTCATCCATCAACGCGATAATCCCTTGCTACGCGCATTATCCTTAAATCCGGTCTTTTGTCCGATTCTCCAGATTCTCGTTTCGATCGCTTTCGAAAATCGCGGATAAAATTTGCGACACGCTGAAATTCCTGCGTTACCTATTTATATCGTGGATTACGCAACTTCCAACGTCTCTTCCGTGGAATACCGGTCAAGAGCCGTTGCTCGACCTCGAGGAATTTATTAATTTATTTTCCAGTCTCAGACGTTTGTAATTTAAAACAGAACCGTGTTTAATATTAAACATCGACAAGTTCAAAGTCACGACTAGTCGCGCGAACGATTAGCACCGTGGAATATTAAATGCCATCGATATTAATGTTCGAAAGTCATCCTTCTGAAAGGACACCGAGGTCCGCCAACTTCCGTTCTCAGCGTCGAGTTTCTTTAACATCTTTAACGTCGCGTGGTTATTACTAAGCTTCGCGATCTGGAACATCGTGACACGGAATCTTTTAATACCCGACGATTTGCGCGAGGTAATGGATCGGCTTGTCACGACCCTCCGTCGCGAAATCATTATAACGCGACGTATTGAATTCTACGATCCATACATATTAACATCGAGCGATTTGCAATTCTAAAGACGTCGCCGTTTTAATATCCGAAGCCAAACACGGTTTGCATAAAATTGTATCTTAACAATTTATCGAACGTGTTCGAAATTCGTCTTCCACGCTGCATCCCCGTTAAATTTTCCCCCGAATTTGAATATCACCCCTCATATTTGCCGCGAGGACAAAAAATATTTACGCCGAGGACGCGTTTCCAACGGTTCCGGGAAATTAATTTCCAACAGCGCGATCGCGCACCGTTTCAAATTACGAGTGCTATTCATTCGACTTTTACATTGTTCCCGACTGCACCGGCACCGGAAGTCGCGCGTGAAAAACACGGAACGAAGGGAATAATTCTGGAATTCCAGTGAGCGATATCTCCTCGATACGAGTTCTTGCAATTTCTTCCTTCCGAGCGTGTATCTACGCTCGTGGCTCGATAACGATATCGTCGTTGTCACCGCGATCGATCGAACGATCGAGAGGTTAAAATTCGACGGGTACCGCGTTCGCGAACGGCATCGAGACGCTCCTCGATTGCCGCGAATAATCGCGAATCGCGTATCGAAACATTCGCAACAATTCGGATCCTTGGATAACCTAAATCTCTCGTACAGCTCGAAGAGGGGAAGAAAAATTAGCAAAAAAGCAAGGCGGGACTCGGATTTAGTTCGCGATCGAAATAATCGCGAACGAAGTGTCTACGAAGCAACATGGAGAAATTCTCGTGATCGTGCTCGCGTTAACCCCGTGACTCCTCTACTATGCAAATGTCCAGTGCCCAGGGACACGAGAGCTCGATATTACCCCTGATCTGCGTCTGCCTGCTCGGCGTACTCGCGTGGAACCTTTTCCTCGTCGCGGCCACCGTTTCGAGGCTGATATCGATCCACGAGGCGTCCAAGTCGAGAAGGAGGTCCGAAATATCCGCGCCGGATAATCCGGACGCGAGGAGCGTCCCGTGGCGAGGACGAAATCAATTTTTGGCCAGGTCTCCTGCCGAGAACGAGTGTAATTACGTCGATTTTGTCCCGTAAGCCCGTTCGTACGCGTGGCTACCTCGTAATTGAATTTAATTGATTGTATCGTGCCGGTTGCGCCGGCCCTGGCCGCACCCTCTGGCCCCCGCGCGCCGCTATTTTCCCATGAATTTTCCTACCCGGGACCCGGTTACTTCCACGACCTCGCTGGTAAAAAGTAATTAAATCGCAGCCCGTCACGTCGAATAATCGGCAAGGTTGATCGATTCGATTCAATTTCCAACTTGACGTTCGCTTTGCTTGCCCGCTACGTGCCGCGAATATCGCGTTCCATCCGCGGGTTATCGCTTTGTTGCGGAATCCGATGGCTATCCACGCAACCGTCGCGACTCGCGGCTCGCCAGTGCATTTGTCTTTCTTTCCATCCGATATCTTTCCGATACACCAACGCTTCCCTATATTTCCCTATATTTTTCCCTCCATCGATTCGTCGAAATTACTATGTTACTTCCATCAAATCTCGACGAGGATACGATTAGAATTTCCCCTCGAGAATCTGATTTCAGCGTGCACTGGTCTACGGAGATCCATCCTGACCTTGTCCAACGTCTGCTGGAGAACAGCTTCGAGAGGAGGTTCGAGAACGTACGGAGATTCTTCATGAAGGCTCGGGGTAATCGTTCGAGAGCCGCGAGCCAGACTCGCGATGATCCGCTGTCGGTAGAGAGAAGAGAGACGACCATCAGAAGCGATATGGGCGATCGTTCGGATAATCGTTTAAACGGCTCGGACGACGAGGTCGCGTTCGTAGGGGAAGCGAATAACGCGGAAACTTGGGCCAACGACGAAACGAGTTGGAAGAATGGCGCAACGTTGGAGGAAAGCTGCACAACATCCTGCGAGAAATTTATGGATCGGTCGGTGGAAAAATTCAGCGAGGAGCCCGTGATGAAAAGCGTCTCCGTGGATGCGGAAGTGGAGAAATATGCAGAGGACGCGTTCGATCGTGAAAACGGGGGTACGTGCCCGAAAGGCAACGAGGTCCGTCCGTCGTATAAATTCGAGGCGCATTTAGAAATTGGAAGGAACGAGGGACATTGCCGGGAACGTTCGAGAAATTTGGAAATGAAAATTGAAGAATCCCCGGAATCGACGGTGAATCGTTCTCTGGAGGAGAAGTTTCTGATTTCGATCCTGCAGGAGAGCACGATGCTCGGGCTGAATCTGGAGGAACTGCGCG